AAGAGGAATGCAGAACTTCCTCAAGGGACTCACTGTCTCCATAGAACAAAGATAATGAATTCACCTGATCCTTGGAACCCACCAGAAACACAGTTTTGCTTTGCTTTTATTAACAATTCGTGCCCTAAAAACGTGAGACCCGTGTTCAGTGTGTTCGCCATGTATGTGGTCATGATTGGGGCTATCGTCATGACCATGCTGGGCAACATAGTTGTCATCATTTCTATTGCCCATTTCAAGCAACTCCATTCCCCAACCAACTTCTTGATCCTCTCTATGGCCACTACCGACTTTTTGCTGAGCTGTGTGGTCATGCCCTTCAGCATGATCAGATCCATTGAATCCTGCTGGCATTTTGGAGACCTCTTCTGCAGAGTGCACAGCTGCTGCGATATCATGCTCTGCACCTCCTCCATTTTCCACCTCTGTTTCATCTCAGTTGACCGCTACTATGCTGTTTGTGATCCTTTACATTATGTCACCAAAATTACCATTCCTGTCATAGAGGTGTTTTTACTTATCAGTTGGTCTGTCCCTCTCTTTTTTGCCTTTGGCTTGGTGTTTTCAGAATTAAATTTAATTGGCGCTGAAGATTTTGTTGCCGCCATGGACTGCAAAGGTTTGTGTGTGCTAATATTTAATAAGCTCTGGGGTGTGCTGGCCTCCCTTATAGCATTCTTTCTCCCTGGCACAGTAATGATGGGCATCTATCTACATATCTTCACAGTCGCCAGGAAGCATGCCCAGCAAATCGGCACAGGTCCGAAAGTGAAGCAAGTTGGGTCCGAGAGCAAAATAAAAACCTCCTCCAAGCGAGAGAGTAAGGCCACCAAGACGCTCAGTATCGTCATGGGGGTGTTTGTCTTGTGCTGGTTGCCCTTCTTTATCTTGACTATCACAGACCCTTTCATTGATTTTACGACCCCCGAAGATTTGTACAATCTCTTTCTTTGGCTGGGTTATTTCAACTCCACCTTTAATCCCATCATCTACGGCATGTTTTACCCTTGGTTTCGCAAGGCCTTGAGACTGATCGTCACAGGGATGATTTTCCATCCAGACTCCTCCACCCTGAGCCTGCTTCCTGCACATGGTTAGGTGATTATCCCCATGCCCTAAGACTCTTTGGGGGGCAGAGAAACCTGGATGCAGAGACGTGGACTAACTTAGAAAAGACAATCTTCTAGTAGGTGTGGCAGACACCTAAGTCTGCCTCATAGGCCAAGACTTCGAGGTCAAA